AAAAGAAAAAATGTTACGTTAAATAGACAACCAATAGCTGTTAAGACTGTGTATCTAAAAATAGAATATGTTTTTGGTGTTTTTGAAAAATTAAAAAACGAATTAAAAAGATTAGATATTATTTTAGTACCAAACCACACAAGAACCATAGCAAAATTGTTTAACAGTAAATATGAAATTAATGAACATAATGATTTAGAAAAAGATAATGTAGTTTATTCATTAGATTGCAGTTGTTCACATAAAAAAAGATACATAGGGGAAACTGGAAGAAAATTAAAGACAAGGATTAAAGAACATATATATGCCATTAAAAATAATTTGATATCATCATTAGTGGCACAACATTGCAACACTGAAGGTTGTGAAATTTTAAAAGATAGTATCAAGTGTATTATGACAGAAAACAATCAACTAAAAAGAAGACTACAGGAACACCTAGAAATTCTGAAAATACAGGAAGACATCAGAATTAATAACAATGTGGGACTGAAGCTACGAGGGGTGGATTGACATCGTTTTCACTTAACCTTGAAACAGATGCTGAACAGATGTGGGAGTATAGTCACATCACTTTGTGAAAATGCTTTGTGACAGAGCAGTTAACTTCACAAAGTCTTATAGATCAGATGTATTTTGTTTCTGTTAAAATCTGGAGACCAATTGGTTTTAAAAAGAGTAAGTTCATTGTTAGCTTTCTTCCCTCTTTTTGTGTGTTTTAATATACTTAACAATATTTATTATTAATAGTGTAACAGTCTACCAGAATTTGGAAAATGTAGGAGAAACTAAGACATTTACTGGTCCCAGATAATATGTTATACCACATTGTCATTGTATTCTAATTTATACTTGATATTTTAGTTTTTAGTGTATGGGTTACATTGAGAAATTGTAAATGCAGTGCACTGCATATGTTGGTTATCCCGTTGTATTGGCTGGTTATTGGTGTTGTATTTGTTACGTTGTTACCATGTGTTTGTAAGCTGATGAGGGGTCCTTGTACCCGAAATGCATACTTACCTAAATTTGAAATGTGATTATTAAAGACCAACCCTTTTTTTATAAAAGTTCTGGTTTTTTTTTCAGTCGGCCTTGGTGTGATAAGCCCTGCAAATTGTTATACCCTATTTATTAGGTTATCTAATTCTGTCTAATTTATAGTCGTGGGCAAAAAGCGTTGTTTATAATTATAACATTTTATAGCATTTATATAAATTGATTTATCTTATAAATACATTATACTTTTTACAATATTACTGTACTTATTATTATCTTTTAAGTTCAGTTACTTAAAACAATCAAATTTATCAAACGTTTGAATCCATTTTCTTAAATATCCATAAGATGATTCATATGACAACGAAACTTCTTCATAAATATGGAGTGGGCTATAATTATCTCCACTATTTTGTTTTAAAGCAATTGTGTTGAAAGCCATACAAATTAAATTACATGATATTACAAAACATATCCCATAGAAGGATTTCAAATATAACACCTTGTGATGTTCTGACTGAAATTGTCCTTCCAGACATGCAACAACAAGATTTGCTCAGTAATAGTCATCCTTCAGTTAAATGAAGCTCCAGCTTATTGTTCCTGAGAGGTTTGTGCAACTCTAAACAATAAATAACTTTTTCACTGGATTGGATAATAATATCCGATGACCTCCCAGATTGCCCAACATTATCCCTTGGATTTCTTTCTTTGGGGTTTTGTAAAAGATTACATTTATGTGATGAAGTTGCTTTTTGGAAAGAGTTGTGGTAACTGTGCATTTAATGATACCAGAAATGTTTTTGAAAGTCTTTGAGGAAACAAAATGCTGTGAGAGAATGTGCATTGACATTACAGACTGCCATATTGAAATAAAATGAAACTCAAAATCCTTCCCTGGAATATGTTTTTTAATCATGTTTATAAATTTCAATATGATTGCTGTAAAATAAAATAAAGAACATAATTAGGACCCAATCTGTATTTTTGCTTCTTTGTCAAATCTTTGTTTTAATTTTTGAAAACATCAGTTTTATTACTTGGAGTGAGATAATTTTAAAAACCTGTAGAAAATTCTTACTGATGGTTTTAGTTGCTTGATTAGAAAGAGAAAGCATTGTTGCAATCTTATGATTAAAGATTATACAACATACTAAAATATCAAAAATTTCAGCCCAAATGTGCAAATAAAAAAAGTCATTTCTAGAGTTTTAAAAAATTTAATCTACCAAAACACTGGATAAAAACTTAAAAAAAAGAGGATGTCTTGTCACCTAATCATTGGTGACTTTTTTTTATTAATCTTTTATGTAACTAATGTAAAGGATTTTTTAAAATTAGTTTTAACTTAGTTATTTTACTTTCTTAGTATCATCTTTTATATATGATTTTTAACTTTTAAAAATTTTATAATAATTAAAAACTTAAAACTCAATTATTTTCTAATAGTGTTGGAGAATTACAGGAGTTGGCAGATAAACCATCAACTCCATTAAAGGCTATACCAGAAAATCAAGAAAGTGCTCCACAGATTATTGATTACCAGCAGAATGTTAGTGCCATTGAAGGTAATTTATAATTTTCATAAAAATAAATTATTATATAAATTAAAAAATTTAGATTAAAGATAGGCTTTCATTTTTATTTCATTATTAGTATTTCATTATTATAGAGCAATTTCATTATTTCTTAATGAAATTGCTCTCTTTTAATATATTTTTGAGTTAACATCTAATATAATAATGAATTGTCATGTATTTTAGTTAATTATATTTCAATATTCAATATAAAAGACAATTCAAAAAATTTTTAAGAACATTGGATTTGAAGAGAAGTTTTATTATTGAAATTAGAATTTACAGATAATTTTTATATATGTTGGCATGCAAAACTTAAGCAACAATGTAATTTTTAAGCAGACAGCTATGAAATTGTAGAAAAGGGCTTAGTAGTTAGTTATTATCAAACAAATGCAATCAGTACAATGAACACCCATTTCAGTTGAAATGTGATTCATATGCAAGAACAGCACGCACAGTACAAGACTACAATAAAAAGAAGGCTTTGATTACATACTGTATGTGTTCTATTCATTTTTGCACTAGTATGCTTTCTTCATCCTTTAAGTACAAAATACTGTCTCTGTATTCTGAATTTCATGTCTCCCAGGTGATTTCTTGTGGAGTTACAGCAAAAAAAAAAAAAAAAAACAATCATTGCTTAAGTTTTGCATACCAGTGTACTTTTA